TACTGCGTGTCGGATATGAGAAAAGTTTCATTGGTACCGCGGATGCTAGTTTGCAATATATTTTCCGGATGGGCGGTACCAAGACTGTGTAAACGAGCTTATCCACCATGATGGTGGAAAGCAGTGACATTTTTTCTTTCCTGAACTGAGCTGCTTTTTGGATGAATCAAGACGGAACTGTTCTCACATTAGTACTCAACTTCTGCCCAGTCATTGTCGTATTCCTTAACATATCTGCTCCACGCTCGAACCAATCCGGTTTGCAGAAAATTCTTTGTGCACTTTTTTCACAGATGATCAGAACAAAATCTGTTTTGTCGTCTTACAGTGACTGACAATTATGAGTGGTCTTTAATGAGCAGCGAAAGGTTGAAACAGAAGGGTCGGCCCTCCACACCACATACGCAGACAGATGATCATCACGTATTGTATAATATCAGCTAGTGAATAGTAACCGCGGATCTGGAATGTTGTTTCGATTTTTCAGATTTATTTTCAAGTCATGTACATGCTTTATGTACCCCGGAAATTATGCTATATATCACTAACCACTTTGAAAAATGTGCAAGCAACTTTTCGACAATGGGAGAGATCCCCACTGGCTAGTCGAGGTGTGAAGTAAATTGGTTAGTACCAAAATGAAGCTGCGAAAACTGACTCTACAGAACTTGGCGTTACACAAGGGTGGTGGATGGACTGTGTCAGGGGCAACCTAATTTTCACATAAGTAAACTAATCTACCAATAATTATGGCATTTTTGAACAAGTAACCTAAATTGCCCATGTTACTCTTAATCGTAACAACTATAATACAGTTGCCTAATAATAAACCAGAAAACTATTATTGCCACCACCCCTTTGACGATGTTGTTGTTTCCTGTTCATTGTTTTCATACAGACTCGGTGTTGCGTCATCCCAGTGAGGAGATCGTATCACTGAATGTTCATAGAGCACGACCAAATAAGTGGAATTGCTCATTCAGATAAGGAAACCTTATTTTCTTATATTCCCCCTACACAACCTGATTGAGAAATCATGTCGAACTTATTTGGTCTCATTGAGGTGACAACCGCATCAACCATTGCCGTGTTGTATAAGAATCCGACTGTACCACTGTCGTTTCTGGGGTTGAAACTCAAAACGGACTACGATAAAGAAGTTTCCATCACTACCATCAGGAACTACTTGGACGGAAAACTGATTACAATCAAAAACATTCATCAAATACTAGTTTGTTTCCGTCTTAGTGAATCATCTGCTATAACACAGACGGATCATTTGGACCTTGGACATGAGATTATGTGGAATGATGAAAGCAACTTCAATCCACAATTTTCATGGAATTTTGGGCGTGCACGGTGCTGAATACCAGTGTCAAGTTCAACAAGAAATCGGCACATCATGCGGTGCTGCACCAGACTCTGAAAGGAGCGTCCTACAACTCTGTACAGTGCCTGTAATGGTTGAAATGGTTTGTCGACAAATCATTTCAAGAAAAGCACAAATCATATGTGATTGTGTGACAATGCAACGTATCACTCAAAACTGGAAAACGTGGGTGCCATAAGAAGACTTGTTTCATATTCTTGGTCGCTGAATCCGATAGAAATGATATCGGGCACCACAAAAAGTAACATCAAAATGGTTCACCGAAGTTAACATGCGAATATCATGGCGAGTGATCCTGGAGGACAAATGAAACAACAGGATTGGAGAATGGCATGTTTGAAACTAATTGCTGATGATGCCAAGCCTCACTTCACGAAGGATCATTGTCAGCATGAATCTAACTGTCCGTGCACATCATCAGTTAACTATCAAAATGCTTGATTTATAATACGATGGATGGTTAATTGTTTGTTTTAATCACTCAACGTTTTTAAGACCGAGAGATCTAAATCAGGAAATTCTAACTCTGTTGAACTCAATATGCCGATGTTTGAAAACTTTCGTTAAATTTACTGCAAATTCACCATTCCCATAGACTGGCTTTCCAATTTACGTTTGTGGATAATAACATGCAAAAACAATCGCTTGGTCGGAATCGTTTTCCGGGGTGCGTGGCGATTAAAATTCAAGGTGGGTAGTTCTGGCAGTGCTAAAACCATACGATCATGTAAAACCAGCAGACTAGGTTTCGTGGTTTGACTTTTTGCTTCTTATTGGAGTGCAAATTACCAGACACTGGAGTCTATTCCAGTTCCGTCATATTCACCAACAGTTGGATTTCTTTTCATTGTGGACGAAGGAGTCGTCTTTGATCTGTGTGGTGAGTGATTCGAGGGGAAAAGCTTCCTAACTGACTCCATCGAGCACTGAAAATGATGGCACGGCCGGATCAGTTATGCTGACGTTAACCGTAAGCCACTCGGTGTCAGATCGTCTGCCACTTGCCGTGTATGCAAAATGCAGTAATTAGTCCACGGTTCGCCGAAGGAACTCTAATTTATGTTAATCCCTAAGTGGAAAGTCTCAATCACTGGAACTTCTTATTTCATGGTCAACAGTCAATGTTAAGCTTTTACGCCTTTGAATGCCAAAAATAGACAATTGCATTCCTTTCCCCAAAGTAATAAAGTTGGGAGGGGGACCTAACCTCAATGGAATTCCAATCACCATGTAGTCTAGGGTATAGGTTGAATCAGTTCGTGCAATAGTTCATGACCACATTCACACAGGTTTGTAATGATCGCATCATCGATCCAACAGTACATTTGTCTATAGGACGGATCGAGGTCAATTATCGTCGGATTAGTTCATGCCGGTCTATGAAGCTCATTCGATCAACGGTCAATTGCATAAGGTTGCCGGGTGATGGTGGGAAACGATCATATCACACCCCATCCCTCCGAAACCTGCATCCTAGCTCGATAACTCACAAGAAAAGTACCTTTGTTTGTTTACGGAGATATTAGTTCATTCGGACTGGACGGGGTTTAGACAGACCCAGTCCAATCGGTGACCGAAACACCAATCCTAAGTGAATGCGAATGGTTGGATTCACTTGAAGTTGAAAAGGTTTAGACCGACCTAATCGTCCGCATCCGCGAGAACTGTTCAATAGTAATTTGGATCTCTTCGGATTAATCAGCTGCATTTACCGACAAAAATATCTCTCGCATGATTTAGATGAAATTTTCACTTTTAATCTGTGAAACAAAACATCACTTGACTTCCGTGGTAGACGAACTACTTAGTTGGAAGTGACCCCTCTCACTACCATGTAAAATGTATAATATTGATTCGAACTGATCATGCTTGAGAATTCACCTTTAAGCACAATCTCAGTTCACCCAATCAATCATACATTCGGAAGCACTAGACTCGAGTTTCGCACTTATTACCGCTCCGCATATCCATCGTCCGGCCTTTGAACTCAGGACCCATCACATGGAAGGGGTGTGCTACCTGTGCATCGATCAGACAAATTGCCAATTAGTATGTTCAAGTGTCTTCAGATGTTTAAATGAAGGTTTCTAATGACGGTAACCAGGTTAATTTTGGAAAAAGTGGACAGATGGAAGCTACACTGGTGACACGGAGACACTGACAAAATAACGCACACCACTTTATCAGGCAGACGGTCAAAAGTGAAACACGTTTCTTCCGGGGTTCTAGACGTTTTCGTTTTTACTTGGCAAACCGCCGACTCTATTACGATTTGGCGAGGATTAGACCGCAACGACAGAAGAAACGCATCTGTCAACTCTTCAAAAAGCACCCTAATAAAATCGGCCCCAATACCTTCCGCTAATAGTTTTCTAAAAATGAATTGTGGAACTTTGTCAACGTTTATTCTCTCTCTCTCTCTCTTGGACTTACGTGAGACCCGTTGAGCATGAACATTTCGAGTATTCATTTATCAAGCAGGTCCACGATATCATGTTTACTATTCATACGCGAACAGGTCCGTCTGGTATTCTGGTATTCTTCCTAATTTCAGTATATACCATCACCATGGAGAGGGTCGGCATGAGGGTATGAAAACCTTAAGCAGGAGACTGGGTCATATAAGTTGCGTTAGGCTACCTGGATGGGGACTCCTAGATCATGGCTAGGTAAACTGAGCGTCGCAAACAGTGGCGCTTGTGCATCACATGTGAGTTCTATATCTTCTGTGACTCTGCCGGCAACATTCCATTCTGTTTTTTTATTTTATCCAAATGGACAGTCAAAAGACAGTAACCGGCGCATGAAACTGCATGTTGCAAAAACTGAAACCGGGCGGGGGGGGGGCAATTGGCAGAGCGTGCGTCCGGATCCTTTGTTTAGCATTTAGTGGTAGTAGTGCAGGTGAAAAGTGATACGAAAAGCAATCGAGCCCCGTATGTGTGTGTGAAGAAAAGATGTTGATTTGTGTGCAAAACAGACAGCGAGGTGAATCTGGCTAGATAGAATACGTTTCACCAAACTCCGTCAGCCGGACCGGCGAATCGGCACAGATTGATTGGTTGTTCGATACAAAATACAAACAAACAACCGATGGATATTCGATAGCTTATTTTGATTAATTCAAACGCCCAGTTGTCATAGTCAACAATTTAACGTTCGTCTTATGCATTTTCACCTTCAGTCCCGGTGATCATTCAGTCAGCAATGCGTGAAAACGGGAAGCTACAATGCAAAGTCAATTGTTGTTGTTGTTTGAAACAGCGAGGGAGGGGGGAGGTTACACGGGCCTGGGTAAATCACAATGCAGAAAGTCATTTCATGATTTGACGATGCGTTAAAAGTGTACGTTTCAGAAACAAAAACTGTACACGTCAGACCGGTCACTCAAAGACACAATAAATGTGATGATGCAGAAAATCGGGAGGTAAATAGAACAAAAGAAGGTTCACGGTTCGGGGGTTGTGGGGGTGGGGATGGGAAGCGAATATCCTAGAAAAATACGCACTGCATTGTATGTACATGTGAAGACAGACAGAGAGAGAGAGAGAGAGAGCGAGAAACGGGGAGGACTCAGAGAACCAGGAGACGAGAGTGATTCAAATGGTTTTCATTCACCACGTAACTGACGCCACCAGGAGACAATAGCCGTGCGTCGTCGCCAGATAGCCTCGCTCCCGGAAAGACCATAGTACCTGGGGAGCAAAACAAAAGGCACTCGATCCGAGCATGAAAAAGCAACCCTGCCACGACGAGTGAATTCACTTATCTATGCTGTGAGCACTGGAAAAACGCACCTAGGAATCAGGCGCGTAAACATAGACCCTAAATTTCACTGAAGTTAAAAAGTCGTGTACACTGCACCACTGTAAGATCAGTTATGCTTTACGGTTGCGAGACCTTGAATTAGCGGATAGAAGACATCCGTTGCCTAGTGCTTTTCGACAATCGATGCTTACGTAGTCTGGCCCAGGTGAGTGGAGTGAGCGGATTAGTAACTTAGAAGTCATCGGGTGTTTGGGAATGCATCGGACAAGAACTCGCTATCGCAGCAAATTTAGCTCAAAAGGCTCCGTTGGTTACGGCACGTCTTGCGTATGTCCGACGGTCGCCTACCGCAGCGCGCCTTATTCGCAGTGGCTGTTGCAGGCTGGAAAAAGTCACGTGGAGGCCAGCAGATGATGTGGTGATGCAGTGATGCTGCAGGACTGGGTATCGCCTACCCCCGCTCTGAAACTAAATGGACAGGATTTAGTTGTGGTGGATTACTTTTC